CCAAAGAGCGACACCACGACCAGGTGCAGCCGCCGCTTTTCCAGCTAGCGGATGTCCGGCCGTGCCGTGAAGTAATGGCGCCGGGAACAGCAATTATGTTTGCCGGGTTGAAAAGCTTGAGCCAAATGGCGCATTGGCCATGGCAATAATCAAACATGCTATGATAAACGTACATGCCCCCAAAAACAGTTGGCAACCAATGCTTTTTGGTAAACCACAGGGGAGCCTTTTGCCAACATCCCACAACAGGTTTTGATCATGAGGTCCGGAGCAGCCCTGCAACTGCTATCCCCAGCAAGTGGTTTACGTCTTGGTTTCCCGCGGCATCGTTACACGCCATGAACCCACTTTCGCATCCAGTCATGCATCTCTCCGTGCTTGGCAAGCAGGTGATGGCATAGTCCAACCCTAGTTTCCCAGTTCTAAGTATGGTTGTAACTTCATTACTTCAGAAGTAGGTTGAAAAACCCTGCCACTTTAAAAAGCCACTTGCCCAAAGCAAATGGAGCTGTTGGCCAGAACTGTTTCTACAGGTTAGGCCATGTTTCCCCGTGGGTGCACCGGGTACCAGGCGAGCTCGTTGGCCTCCCGTCCGTCCGGACGGCCCCGTCACCCGTCACGCCTCGCAAGTGACGTGCTGATGCCAGCCGCGCACCTGGAAAATCCCAGGCACAACCAAAATGAGTAGGTCACCAGCGAGGTTTTCCTTGTGGTTTTAGGGTTGTTTTCTTGGTTATCCAAAAAAAACAGGATCCCAGGCAAAACTACAGTAGAGAAACGAAACCGGCGTTTTGTTTCCTCTTGGTTCTAGGGTTGTTCCCCTTGGTTACCCAAAGGCAAATTAGGGTCCCAAGAACAAGAGCAACCGGCGATTTGTCCTTTTGGTTTTAGGGTTGTTCCCTTGGTTATCCGAAAGAAAAGAACAAAAATCAGGATCCCAGGCACAACCACTAGAGTAGGTATCCGGCGATGCTTCCCTTTGGTTCTAGGATATCTGCGTGGGTTGAAGGGAAATGGACGTATTAGCTAAGGGGACTGGTCAATGTGGCCGGCTCGAGGCTCCTCATTACCAAGGGGCCCAAAGTTTGACCACCATCCCCACCTCCTTTATGGGGCCCAAATACTTTGAATGGGGTGGTGGGGGATACTTTAAAACCAACTTTTGCCATTCTGATACTCTGATAGGATAAGCGTGTGTAATTCAGCTGGTCAGTGCTGTCCTCGGCATTCCGCTCAAACTTGGCGGTTGTTCCCAGCATGGTTGGATCCAATGTCTTCAAGTGTTCCCCAAAAACCTGCCCCCACCCGCCGCTTTCGGGGGCAGGGTCTCAAATTCCCCACCCCACCCCAAAAAAGAAAGGAAGAAGACAGAAAAAAGAAAACAACACAACACAACAGCCTCGAAGGATCGCCCAAAAAATAAAAACAACCCCACAAACTCCCAGAACAAAACCAGCCCTAAGGGATTCCCCAAAGTCCATCCCCAAAACCTAATTACACCAGCATAGACCCCAAATAGCAGCGCTTGCACACCAGCACCTCCAAAAGCACCCCCCCGAAGAACGCCCCAAGCAAAACCCGGCCGTCAATCGAGCAAAAATACGCTCGCACCATCACCCTTGAAGAGCACCCCAAACAGCACCCCCCAAGACACCCAGCCGTCAATCTTGCGAAAATCAACCAGCACCCCAAACGGAATCCCAAACCACCACCGAAGCTGCATGCCCCCTTGCACCCTACCGTCAAGACGCAAACATGCGCCTGCACCGTCAGCTGCATGCCCGATCGCACGTGAGCATCAATATCGCAAAAATGCGCCCGCACCGTCCCCAGCACCTCAAACAGCTCCCCACAAACTGCGTCCCACAGCACCATCAGCACCAGCACCCCAAACTGCATTCCCCCCTGCGTCCTACCGTCAAGATGCAAAAATGCGTGCGGACCGTCACCCCCCAAAACAGCACCTGCAAAAGCACCCCAAACTGTATGCCCCCTAGCACCCTACCGACAATCTTGAAAAGATGCGCCCGCACTGCCATCAGCACCTCAAACAGCACCCCAATCAGCACCTACACCAGCACCCCAAACCGCACGCCCCTAGCACCAGCCCATCAATCTCGCAAATCACTTTGCCCACTTTATTAGAAGTTAGAACCCCTATAGCTTTCAGCTATCTGGGGGAAAAGAACAACCCAAAAAAAAAACAATAACCCTCTCCCAAAATAAGGCAAAAACTGAAAAGAAGTCAGGATGTGACAGCTGGGATTGCCTTATAGACTGGACGCTTGACCCATATCAGGCCGGCTGCCTTGAACAACTCGAGCTGATGGTTTTGTGAACTTGTTTCTGCCTTGCACCTGGAGCCGAGGGTGGTCAGTGGGACCCACTGAATCCTCGTCATTGACTCAGTTGTTCAGTGACCCTGGGGAAAAAAGGGAACCCTTGTTGTGGAAGACCATTTTTAGTGGGGCAGCCACCAAAAAAAAGGTTGAGGGTCTTGACAAGGACCTTGTGGAGCTGTTGCTGGGCGCAACATGGCCTCGCACCAGATACCTTCCCGCCACGAAATCAAACTCGGCGGCGGTCTCGAGCTCCAAGAGAGCATGGACGCCAGCGGACAAGTTTTTACCTTTTCACTTGGCTGGAATTAGAACCCCAACAAAAACTATATGTTTTGCCCAAAAAAGCAAAAATTGAAAAAGGGGAGCTAATTCTGGGGAAGTTCACAGATCCCCCTTTTCCAGAAAAGAAGAATGGATGAACAGATTCGCCGAATCCAAACCGCCGAAACCGTTTCCCGACTTTTCGACGGCTGCTTCTGACCAGAAGTCATGTCCTACCATACTTAGCCCCAATAGAAGTCTAGTGGCGTAACAGGCAGCCTAAGTTCTGGTCAAAAAACGACTAGGTGTCACTCTAAGGCTTGACATGTCCCAGGAACACCCCTCCAAGACCGAGCATTCAGATTCATGCTGGCTTTTGATTAGGTGAACTACCGACTCTTTAGGGGCAAGTGGAAAAACACAAAGCGAGCAAATTGTGCTCCAAAACGCAAGCTTGGACATTAAAACATGCTGAATCCCACAGCCAATGCTGGATAATTTTATTTGGGAATGTCAAAACAATGCATCAAAAGAATCAGTTTGCCGTCAAAAGGTGGTTCGGGCAGTATTCCTCCTATTAGCTTTCAAGGTACGAAGAAAAAGAAGAAACAAACACACACACACACACACTCGAGTGGTCCTTTGCCAGCCCGCGCCTTACACTTGAAGCACACGGGCCGGCTACAGCAGGGAGTGCGCACCTACCAGCTTGGTGCACACCCCGCTTTAGTCCGACAAATGTCTGCGGCTGAGGGACACTTCAATTGGAACCCTTGGGGTTTGGTCATCAAACGACTCCCCTTGAGACAAACCCCCATGGGTTTTGGAAAAGGGGCCGCTTGCGAGGCCGAAGTGGAAAAAAATGCCCATGATGACTCTTCCTTTTTCGTGCTTCCAAGGCGATTCTCAAAGGGAAGCCCAGAAAACGCTCGGTGAAAACGCAATACTAACAAGGTGGCGTGCGCCTTTCCATCATCCATTTTCGCTTCGTGTATATATATATATATATGTTCTTGGAAGGTGCGCCTTTGGGGGCTGGTTTGAAGGAAGACCGGAAGGAAACCCCTGCATTTGGGGAGTCCCCCATTGTGGCACATACCCATGTTGTTCAGGCCCCCCCGTAGTAGCAAAGAGTGGGTCAACGTTACATGAGTTCAGCGTGGTGCAACAATGGCCTTAGCATGGGCTGGTGGGATACTCAGATGGGTGAAAACCCGTTGAACGTAGATGGCGCAACTCCATCATTTAGGATTCAGCACCTTTGCTTACCGACATTTGAGGGGAATGCCACCATTCTACTTTCACCCTTGAGTAGCAAACACGGAAAAGAACGATGTCTCTACTTATCCCAATCATTTTGCAGATGACCTGCTGAACCAGAGCCCATCGACATGTCGGATCTTTTAGCCGCCGGACTTCTTTGCCATAGCCGATCCATCTGTGCTGGAAGTAGTCATATGTTCGCAGCCTGCCATCTGGGTGGAAGCCTGCCATCTGGGAGCTGGAAATGGCTGTCCTGCACTCCTCCCGCCAACCCTGATCCGATGTGGAGCTGCAGCAGCGCGCACGGATGCCCCAATCATTGCAAGTGCAAGATGCTTGTAAAAAAAGAGGAATGCACGAAACTGCTTCCTCCAGGTTCCTTGGGTCCCCGGTTTGGCAGGGTTCAGCTCTTTTGCTTCACCAGCCTGGCCAGGCTTGACGGCTTCGAAGAGTTTCTTGGATCCTTTCTCAGGTGGCTGGTTGTCAAAACCGTTTTGAGATCCCATTTTGGTTGGTAGGTGCACCACCCATTTTAGAATCCATTTTAGTGGGGATTGGGATGTTCACTGGGGGTACATTATTTTGACCCACAGCCAGGTGGGTCCTAACGGCTCTGATTCCCCGCGCAGCAAATGCAAACTCCCGTGTTCAACAAAACTTGAAACGCAACAAAGTCAAAGAGCTACATCATGGCGCTCTCATTGTATTTTCATGCGCGCTCGTCAATCGGCAGAACAATGATTCACCAACCAAGTACTTCAGAACCATTGTACTACAATTACAAGAGTAATGGCAGTCAGCCTACCGCAGATTTTGCGAGTGGATTGAACATCTAACACGGTAGCCTAAGTACTGCCAAGTGGAGCTGGAGGCTTGAAACACCTCGCTTCCTGAGTTGCTTGGCCAAAGTCTGAACTTGTCTGCTACCTCTATTCTTGGTATGGTAGCAAAAAGCTTTGCTTTTTGCAGCCCCGCAGGAAGAATGAACAGAACCAAAAAGCTAAAAGCCGAAAAAACATGCCAAGACCAGTGAAGCGTCTTTTGCAACGGAAACGTTCTTCCCAGAGTTTCTGCATAAACTCAGGGAGTGACTTTTCTGAGACGCGCGACAGCCGACTCCAGCTGTCAGCCGACCTTTGGGTACATCCGCAGCCAGGCCAGCTGTGCAGCGGTGCGGCGCTCGCAATCCTCACAGTTTTGGTTGGTTTCGCTTCGTCCCCGGCTCGGAGCAGGCCCCAAAAAAAGGGTTGGGAGAGGTTCGGAAAGCTACGTTTGAAGGGTTGTTTCTTCTTAAGCTCTATTTTGGAGGTATCGTTATTCAGGTCACTTCATGGACCCAGCCAAACCCACCCTGGTGGTTCTCCCCCGGTGGTTTCCCCTTTTCCGCCTCAACCCCTCAAGACCAAGGTCGCTGATTCTAGGGGTTGGTTCTCCATTCTCTTCGAGCGTCATCCAGTGTGTCCAGCCGTTCCCCCCAAATGCTCGCCAAAGTCCTGGAAGCCAGGATTCCTAGAAATGAATACAGGGCTGTCCTCAGAACCCCCCCAAAAAAAGTGACTAACTTTTAGTGGGTTAAATACGGACATCCAACCACTAAACACTAAAAAGCTAAAAGGCTCAGGAACCGGATGGCTGGGAGCCACCAAGATATAATAGAGAAGTTGACGCGATCCCCTAGGATTACTTCCGTTCCCTGGGCAGGGTCCAGAAGGGGTCCGGAATCCGTGCGAATACTCCCGTCTCTACGTCGGAACATGCGGCTCGGAGGAATCAACTCACAGGAGCAGACAGGGGCCGCTAGCCCCAAAAGTATTCAAGCTGAGCCATATTCAGAGACCCCTAAAATTATCTACATCAGTTCGAGCAGATCCCCTCCCCAAACACAAAAAGGAACCAGAAGCCCAAGAGCGGAATCTGCTGTGGGCCAACCCCCCGTAGCGGTTGCTGTCCGCAAACGAAACGATCAAATGCCAAGAGAAGCAAACGCAAAGCAACAACACCAACACAAACAACTACCAAACAGGCACTTCCATCACTCCCAATGCTGTGTCCTCATGATCTTTGACAAACGGAGGAACCAACACACATCAACAACAAACAACGACAACACAACAACAGACAGCAAAACCAGCAAACCAACAACATGAACAAACACAACAGAAAAAGAACAAACAAAAAACTCACGACAGCAACAACACAACCAACAAAGGGAACAAACCAAAATGGAAGCAACCCAAACCAAGAATTGAACTTATAAAACACAAAAATTGCACGGACACAACACGCCTTTCGTTCGTTTCTTGCGTGCGTTGCGGTGCGTTCTTTTGCTTTGGGGCCCTGCCTCGATGCAAAAGGGCAGCTGCGTGTGCGCCGCCTGGCATAGGGACTTGGAAGGCCGCGCGCCGCGGCCCGGTGGCCACGCCTCAGCCAGAGCGAGGCGCGAGTCGGCGCTGCCGGGGCGGCTTCGTGGCTTGCCATCGGTTGAACCAACTGAACCGGGCCCCTCCTAGGCAAAGGGGAGCGTTTTGGAATCAGTGATTCAGTGCTTTTAACCAAAAGCCCCCTAAACATGGTTGGAAAAATCCCCATCTAAACCAGGGCCCTCTATTTCTTAAGCAAACCAACCAAAAAGGACACCTTGCGTAAGGTCATTGGTTGAAGAAACCAGGGCTTGGTCGTGTTCCGGGAAAGTTGCCCATTTACCATCTACAAAATCGAATTCAAATCCCTACCAATCCAAACCACCAATTTTGGGGTTACCTGAAAAAGAGCTCCCTGCAAAGAAATAATAGGATTCTATCGTATTTAACAAAAACCCTTACAAAAATAAACAAAACAACAGCATAAGCACCAACAAAATAAACAAGCAAAAAAAGAAACCAAAATAAATATCACAAAACAAAAATCATAACATATAGAGAAAGATCAACGTAAACCAAAAACAAAACAAAACATATATATATATATATGTAACAAACAAACAAAAACAACAAAAATACCAAGAAAACAATAACAACACAAAACAAAAGAAACAATAAGAAGCAACGACACAAAAATAAATAAACAAACAAAAAACAACAACAAACATCAGGAAAAAGGGGGGGGAAACAACAACAACTACCAAAAAACAAAAAACGACAAAGAGAGAGAGAGAGAGAGAGAAAGAAACAAAAAGGTGGTTCATTGCTTTTATAACTAAAAAACGAAAAATGGTTCAAGTGTGCGGAGGGTTTTAAACGAGTGAGACCCGGGTGTGGCTTCAATGGGCCCCCTAAAAAATGGTTGAAGTGTCCTTTTGGTCTCGCTTTGCACTCGGTGAAAGGGGGGCCCTCTATTTTGAGGAAACCCTCAAAAGGAAGAAAAGGAAATCCAGCAAGGCATAGGCTAGCAAGCCCCCCCTCTTTGATGGTTGGGCTTCAAAGCCAAATAACAGAGGGGAGGTGGAAACCAAAGGCGGCTTAAGCAAAGGTTTTTTGCGGGAAACTGAAGGGAGAACTAAAGGAAAAAAAGTGCCAGGGCACTTTGAACTACTTGTCACATAGACTTCAAAACATGGGCCTGTGGCTCATTCTCAGAACGGAAAACCTACGAAAGCAGGAGCTGCCGGCACCAATCCGAAGTACTCGAACAAACCGAATGATGTCCCTGCCCCATTCTTTCATAGAAATTCACGACACTTTTCCGAATTGGGCGCGCGTGAAAGTACGAGGCTCCTCCCAAAACAGCTTTGTAAATTGTCCGGTGTCGCACTTTCCGATCGTGTGGGCGACACAGATGAGGGGAAGAGGTGGCGTCCATGAAAACACGGTGCTCATCAGGGGTTATGAGCAAGTCCTGAAAGAACGGAACTGAGGGAGGGAGGTGCTTAGTCCAAGTGCTTGCCAATTCCTCTGTCGGCATATACCCAGGAGAAGCCAGAAATTGAAAAGTTGAAGGGCTGGGCCATGGGGGAAAAGGGCACCCTGACCCACCGGGTCTGGGAGCCGCCAGCGGCCATTAGGCCCCAGCGCAGTGCAGGGTGGACACAAACTCGTCCGCATTGGCCTCTCCGCAAGGGCCGCAAGGGCCACGCCGCTTGGGACCCGTTTCTCAAAACGCTGGGCCGCTTTCTGGGCGTCGAAAAGGGAAACCAGGAAACTCATGTTGGGGGTCCAACCTATTAAGGAGACACACCCGTTTGAACATTCATGCGTTTCTTTTTCAAAAAGGGATATGGTCTTGTTGTTTGAGCCAGTCTTGTCCAACCCTAGTGCGAGTGGCAAGCTGGGCGGGAAAAGACTCGCTGGTGCTCAGCAGGGAATGAGAACTGGACTGACCCTTGTAAACCTTCCAAGTGGTGGTTTCCTTTAAGGGAATGTTTGGGGTCATTCCAATCTCATTCCCTGCCTAGCGCACCAGCAAGAAAAGGCAATATGGACATGTCTCAAAATAGGCTGCAGAGCCCCAAAAGACGCGGGAAAGGCTAAGATGAAAAGCAGCAATATGCCTGGCGCATTGCCTGTGTCCCAACAGCTACGGAAACCTCCAACTGGACTATGTTTTGGTTGTTTTGTGGTAAAACAAATAACCCCAAACCTCAAATCGCACGTCGCCAGAACCAGCCCAAGTCGAATACTTCGGCTCGAGTCCGCCTGCGTGCTTTGGAAGCGCTTCCACACGTCCACCAGCGTCGCGGCCTCGTTTTCCATGCCGAAAGCCGTCCGTTTGCTACTGGCGTGTTCGGTTCAAAGGCCCACCCCACGTTTCCGTCTTTCACTTGCCCAAAGGACCTGGAGATAAAAGGGAAACCTGCTTAATTCCTCACCATGCAACAAAAGCAACAGGGGAATACTAAAACGTCAAAAGTTCAGCCTTGCTGTGAGATCTACTTCCATCAGCCTGTGCAGTTGTGTTGCCTTGGCCGATTCTGGGAAGTTCTACAAAGGAGATCCCCTTCGTAGCCCGCATTGCCGAAATGAACAGTTTTGAAGCTCTGCCTCAGCCTTCTTTCAAGGGGCGAATGAGTAACTACAACCTATTTGAGAGACTTGCATGGCAAGTGGGTAGAACAGTCCGACCTAGGTGTGCGTTGGAACATCTCCTCCGCTGGAGAAAAATGGACCCAAACTGGAATCCATGAAAAGATTACGCTGGCAAACGATTAGAACCAAACTGAAACCTCTGGAACCCACTTCACTTCCTGAGTGGAGAAAGTCTGGACGTATTGTTAACCACTAAAACGGTGTCCCTAAAACGTTTGAAGTGCAGAAACAAGAAGAGAAATGATTCTCGACCTGAAACCTAACAAATTGGACACCCACCCCCAACTCTTCCGTGACAGAGGCCGGCACTCAGCGGCTTGCGGCTGAAGGCCGAACCATCTACCCCGGGGCACACACTGGTAGTCCCCCTAGTAAATATGTTTATACCCTTTCTGTGAAAACAAAAAGCCCAAAAAAGGCAAACCACTAAAAGATCTGGACCCGCTTCTTTGCACTCCTCCAGTGCTGCCATGGCATCCGAACCACACGTTGGGATAGACCTTAAGCCAGATTTAGGATTACTACTGTGGATGGACGGAATCCCTTCGCACCACTTTGAAACCATGGGACACCAGTGTCGGTTGGCATTTACAGGGGTGGATCATGATTCCCGGGTGTCTTAGGTGGTGCGAATGGATCAGTATGGCCATAGGCTGAAGGCCCAGCTTTTCTGAATATTTTTGTGTCAGCCAAAGAAAGTCTACACGACTTGGGGCACATATTTTCACCAACCTTCAAGGGGCCCAAGGTGAGGAACCTTGATAGGGCCAAACCCTATTCCGCAAAACGCTCGCATGACGCCTGGTCATCCAAGCGAATGATTGGGTCCATGCCCAGAATTGTTTCCTGGGAACTGTTTTCTGGTCGACAACCAATCTCCCCAAGGGAATGCCTCCGGCCATGGTGGACACCCCAACAACATGGAAGCGATGCGACTCCCGCGACCTCCGGTGGATTTCCAGGAAGAAAAACGGAGCAGCCGTTTTTGGATGTTGCTTTCCCCGACAGCTGAAAGCTATGGGGTCTCTGCAGATAGGCTCTGGGGAGGTTTGGGGCAGGTTCAAAAGGAGGGTTCCGGAGGTTTTGGGGCTGTTGGGGATACCACCCTTATTTGTTAAGGGAACTCCCAGCAAACAACATGAGCACAACCCAAACCGACGGACAAACGGGCCTTGCAACAAAAGAGGCTCAACTCGTCTGCAGGGGGCCGCGTTCCGGGTCAAGGTTTCTGTCAAAATGGCAGAACCCTCCAACTGGTTGGCTTCCTTCTGGCACAAAAAACACGCACACACATGTTCCCATCGGTGTGGGAGTTGATCACAGGGTCCTTTGCGTAGGATGACCATTGGGGAAAACCCACCTAAAAAGATTATACTGCCCCACTAAATGGGAACAGTTACCCTGTGTCATTTGGGGGCCAGGCCCGCAATACTGATCAACCCTCGAGTAGAGAATTGAAGAGGCGGGCATCCCCTAAAAAGATGAAATGTCAACCACATGGCTGTGGCTCAAAAAACCGGCACCAAAATGGAACCCTGGTAAGAGGAAACATGGACCAACACTCAGTTTGCCCCTCCTGTTTCATTTTGAGCCACGCCCACATGGGAAAGACCATTACGGAAAACCACCTAAAAAGATGAGATGTCCACGTCTGAAAACCATTGGGGGAAAAAACCCATGGGGAAAACCATCGGCCTTGCGAAACCCCCCAAGAAACCGCTGGCTTTGACCGCTCACATGGGAAAAGGGTTGCCCCAGGCTCCAGAACCATGTCTTGGAGTCCGCGCCACCGCCTGCGCATGGATCTCCCCTCGCCGGAAGTCCTGAAAGCGGATGGATGTAGCCAAGCCATGGAAACCTACCATTCTGCAGCTTCTCTCCAATTGATGGTTTGGTGGTCAACTAGGTCCTCCAGATTTGAGAGCTTAGAATAAGGGTACCAACTTTTCTCTCTGGTCTATTTTAGTAGGAAAACCCTCCCCCCAAAAAGGGGTGAGAAAGGGCGCTACTGGGGAACCTAGTCAAGGGGGGTTACCTGAATTCTACCAACTCATCCAAAAGTATGTTCCACACTCACTGTTGTCCCTGGGGCAAAGATGTAACATGTTCTGATTCTTTCCAAGTGGGGAACATGTTCGTGGTGTCTGTCTCAAAGTGCACAAAAAAGAGAGAACAGCTTCACTCCAACTGACTAATATGGAACTCACCAGAGGGTCCTAATTATCGGCAGGATCTGTGTGAGTAGACGCGCAGGTAAACCCAGGCCTTCCCAGCTTCTCAGTGCAAATGGAGTCGAGCGTTGCATCCTAGTTACCCTCCCTCCAACAATCATGGAAGCTGACAGAAAGTTGTGAGAAGACCACTTACCAGTTGGGAGCCTCTCTGTCCACCTCCACGGCTGCTGGAAAGAGGGTAGATGATTGCTCTCAGTAAGGACCATCGGAGTAACTCCAGCGTCGTGATCCATGATTGGCCTGTTGGAGAGGGGTCGTTTCCCAGCAGGAACCGAAAAAAAGGTGCCTTTGCGAGGAAACAAATCGAATCCACTAGAAACAACTAGGTGCGGGTACTTTGTGGCTCAAGCGCAGCTCCTCAGGCAAAGACCGCGTGCCCAAAGGTCGCTTGTCAACTGGGGCATCCCTTGCCCTGGAACCGCGCACTTGCAGGGTTCACGTAAGCCACCCATGAGCATTTGCGCAAACACGCTGCATGAATCCACGGGGAATCTTGTGGGCGCATAGCCACGTGTCTTGGACGTTCATTTGCCGGGGGGCATAGGTGGGTTGCAAGCTAGGCGACGGAATGTGCTTCAACAAAGCTCCCGGAAAAAAAAGAAGCTAGCGAACACCCTCTTCGTTGTGGGCGGCGGCTGTTGCTTGTTTCCTTGGAGATTCTCCTGGCGCTGGTTTCGGTTCAAAGTATCAGCGCACCTTCCTTCCAGTGCCACTGCAAGGGTCTCTCTGCTCAGTGAGCCAGCTGGGGTTCTACACCGTCACTGCACCAGAAGCCCCGCGAAATAGAAAGGTGTGTCGGAAAAAAGTGGGCGGAAACTTACTTGCTCGCCCTTGTTTTTGTTTTGTCTGTTCTGCTCCTCTTTTCCAGGCTAATACCCTTGTCAAAGAACAACAGCCAGAGCAAGAGAACCGGACATGTGGAACCCTCATGGGGCTTGGTCATTGGAATCCCTGGCTTTAACCCCCTCGCTCGTCAACGAATGGAGACAAAACCCTCATTTCCCTCACACCAACAGATGTTTCCTCCAAAACATCCCCAAAGAAAATACAAAAACAAGACACACTTTCTTTAGCAAAAAACAACACAAGTCCAAGACACACTTTCTTTACAAAACACAAATCCAACACTGGTCCGTTGATGCCCCCTTCTGACCCCCAAACACATTTTCCGTCTCCGCTCGCTCGCTCGCTCGTCGGTCAACGTCCCGGTCGGTCCTGGCCCCGGCGCTTGGCCGCCGCCTCGCGGGCGCCCAACAAGTCGCACCACAGCTCCTCCGAGTTCCGCGGCTCCGTCGAGGCGTCGAGGCGCGAGGCGTTTGGCGGGGGCCGACGGAGGTGTTGCGCCGTTTTTTTTCTTGGGGGGGGGCGGATGGATTCGGGAGGTCGAAGTGGCAAGGTCCTCCAGATTTGAGAGGTTAGAGTAAGTTGGTACCCGATTTTCTGCTGTTTGTCGATTTTAGTAGGGGGTTACCCTCCCAATCAACAAAGGGTGAGAACGGGGCACTACTGGGGGACCTAGGTGGGAAGCCAAGGCCATGGTCAGTGAGATAGCTCGCAAAAGGCCATGGTGATAAGTCTCCGTGGGTTATAACCAGGCTTAACCACTTACCTGGCACTGCCCCTGCAAGTACCTCTATGAGGGCCTGTAACAAATGGTGGAGAAACCAACAAGGCAGCACCTCTGAAAACGCTACGGGTAAATCCCAGTCACCAGGGCTATTCATGGAGCTTTTCTGGAAATCCGACAGGATTTGCATCTGAAGAGAATTCGGAAACCCATAATGACTCGTGCGAAAAGGCACTTGCCAGGCAGTCGTGGGCAAGTGAGTCTCAGGTATTGGGACCTGTAACAACATGGTTTAGAAACCTGGGTACACCTTAAAATGGGGAAAATGGATGGCCACTCTAGGTTTCTCAGGGGCTCCCTCGTGAATGGGGACAAAAGGACAAACATGCCATCTCAGGGCTACCCTGTGGTTCGAGAACACCTAGTTGTCGGGTCTGTGCCACCCCAAGCCTTGCTTCGATTGATTTCTCTAGGGGAACCTTCAAATGATGGCTTTGCCTATGTCCCTTTCAAGGGGATCCCCGTGAGTGTTATATAACAAACTCTTTTCACAACCAAACACTGATGCACTTAAAACGGAACTCAAGGGATGTCAATACGTAATTGTCACTTGGAGATCTTCAAATAACGGCTAGGCCCAAACCTGCTGTGCAGCGTTGAAGCCTTAGTCAGAGGATCCAACCCCTGTTGCCCCTTTATGAGGATCGTATTTTGGGAAAGCAGGCTATTTAGCCCGAAAATGATGAACAACACCTGGCAAGTTCAATCCGTGGAACATGAAGACACCTTTTTGGGGGTGTTTCAAGGAGGTCAATGGGAAACCGACCACTTTCAGGTCTTGCAGATGCAGATAAGTTAAGCCTGGGGATCAATTAAACACAGACTCGGAGCCAGCTCTGTTCGAACTCTCTGAGAATCACCATTCGAGGGCGAATCACCTTTCGAGGGCAAAGCAGGGCTCACAGCGATTTGAGTCGCGAATGCTTCCTTCTGAGCAAAAAATACGATGACCTCTTCCCTTGTAGCTTCCGTCGGTGAATGAATTTGCAAGCGCGGCAACGCCCTGGATGGATTGACTCGTCGGTGATTCGATTTGACTGAACTTTGCCATCCTTCCGCGCTGCAGTTCTCCTAGGTCCATCCAGTAGAGAGCTTAGAACAAGTTGGTGCCCACTTCTTTCAGTGTTGTCGATTTCAGTAGAAAACACCCCCCAACCCAAAAAAACAGAGTTGCCCACAAAAAAGAAGGGGCGCCCACCCCCTTTTTCCTTCTGCAGTCGATTTTAGGGGGTTTCCCCTCCCACACCAAAACAGGGCACTCTCTCGGGCGCTCGGGATCGATCCTCCCGATGCAGCTCGGCGCGCAGCTGCGCCACCCGGCGCCTGGCGCCAGCCAGCCCCCCCCAAAAAAAACGTTTTTGGGGCCGCTGGCCTTGGTTCGAAGGGGAAGCCCGCTCAAATGAACCAAATTTAGGTTCTAACATGGGGGGTAAACTCACCCCATTCGACCAAAATGGGATCCCAAAACCTGGGCTGTCCGTTTTGAGATCCCCCGCTGAAAGTGACTAACGTGTAGTGGATTGAATGGAAATCCAACCACTAAACAGTAAAAAGCTACAAGGCTAAGGGGATGCTGGGAGCCACCAAGAAAACACAACACAACGCTGAAACCCAATGGGAAACCAGGGCACTTGTTTTCTTCTCGAAATTCTGGAAAAACAGAGGCACGTGCTTTTTCTTTTGGTAATTCTGAAGCCCTTTCCCAAAGAAAAAATGCCGCTGGAGGCGGGTTCCATGGAAAGACTCGGTTTCGGGTTTCACGCAGAGGCCTTGGTTCTGGTGAGGGGGGGAGGGTAGAAGCCATGGGGAGCCGCGATTTTCACAACCCTTGGCAAGGTAGCAACAAACTATGGTTTTTGTAGGCCCCCCACTAAACATGCACAGAACCAAACAACTAAAGAAGCAAGAAACTTGCGAAGAACACATAATCTCAGTGGTTTGAACGAGGGGTTTTCAACATGGGAACAAGGTTGGATGGCTGTTGCCCGGGTGAAAACGGTGCAGCTGGGTCTTGGGAGCCTAAACTGAGTCATGAAAAGCCTACATGAGTCATTGAAACCTGGTAAAGGAGCCCGGCGGAGCTCCACGCTTCTCGACCGTCCCTTCCCTTCGCTTAAATTGGGAATTTCAGACTCAACGGCCTTGACGGTTTGGGTTCGCCCTAGATTCTAGAAAGCGGCTTGGAGGTGGCTTCTGTGGATCCATCCTTGCAGGATATTCAACGACTAGTAAAAGAGTACTCAAAGAAAAGCCTAACCGTTTTCTAGATAGACCCAAGACCTGAGGGCAAAGATGTTCAGCGTTTCCGAACGTTGATGCAGCTGAATCCGGTCAAATATCCCCCCCCCATATGGGTGTGTCTAAAAATGGATGACCCTCCAAAACCATCCAAACAGCAGCGCTCCGTATTTTTTGAGACGTCCTCTTGACTAGCTGGCGTGAGGGAACACCTCTCTGGATAAACACTTTCGAATAAACCAACTCAACGCCCTTGATTCAAAGGATCCATTTCCCTTTGAACACCATGCGCAAGGAGGGTATCCAATCTTTGAGACCAAACAACGCAACACTGAAAGAAACAACTGAAAAACAACAACCACACAATCAGCAACAAATCATAAAGCACACACAAATAAACGACCAACATTTGAGGAATCCAACAAAAAACAAAGCAACACGTACACCAAATAACATCCCAACACAGAACCTCCAACAAACATCCAACAAATAAACCAAGACACCTCCGCCGTTCCAAAACCCCAAACCGAAACGCCGGTACCTAAAATCGAGCAACCTCAAGCCTGCCGGGTGGATGATAATACAATCGAACCCTCCCAACGTGTTTCGGACCGAACAAGCAGGCAGCAAAACATCAACTACCAACATCATATGGGTGCCCTTTTTTGTGACCCCCCTTTTGGTTGGTAACGGGAAACCAACAGGAAACCGTTGCCATTCTGGGGGTTCCATTTGGGACACACCTAAATACCCACCCGCGCCTGGCGTTCGTCAGGGCCTTCGAGCTCGCCGCTGGCTCCGACACACTGCGAGGGAGAGGCAAGCGGTGGGGCTGGCAGGGATGCGGGTGGGCGTGGTGTGGGTGGGCTTGGTGGGGGTGGGCGTGGTGGGGATTTCGTTTGATTTGCTTCGAAAGTGAAGCCACCTTTGCTCTTGTCTCTGCGGTCTATTTTCTGTTAAAGGTTGATGGTACTTGGATCTTGCCTGTATGATACCAATCTTGCTTCTCGGATCCCAGGAATGAGTTGGAATTACCAAACGGGATCTGGCACATGCCCCAAATCCTGATTCCTCGAAAACCCAAGGAAGACGCTTGACTCAGGCTTCATTCCGAGATGGATCAACATGGGAAAGCCAACAGATAACATAGATTCACCACAGATCTGGGGAACAATTGCATGTGATTCACACACACACACGAATGAGATTTACGGAATCCCGAATCCTTAAGTGGGACCTCGATGGGTGAGGTCAAAACGCAAAAACCTGAGGTCGTAAAAGGGTTGCAGCCACAATAACAGAATGATGCGATGTATGATAGTTTCGTGAATTCCCTGTATGTTTGTACTATACATGTGCTGCTCCTTGTTGTTATGATGCTGTATTCAGTGTCACAAGCGGCTTGATCGCCGCCCCCAAAGGTGGATCAAGTGATCACGATCTCCTGTTGCAACCTGATTTGGTTGCTAGAGGTAGGGACTCGCACCAAAAGAAGAGGGAGCACAGCACATTCAAAAGCGGCCGAAAAAAACGGGCTGTGGTCAGATAAGTTCAGACTGCAAGCAGAGAGGGTCCAAGGGGCTCTGTGGAGAAAGCCCTGCAGCTTGAGGTCTTAGGAGCAGCAGCTGCACCATACGAGCCAGGCCTTTGCTGGACCCGACATAAGATGACGAGGGGGCATCCAACTGGCAACTACATGCGGTGGATCTAGCTGTATAAAGTTGGCTACTGAGGCATCATGTCACACCCTAGAGTTGAAAGTACACGATTGCCTACTGCACAGCAGCTGGAAACCACTGACAGGATCCATCTGGTCAAACTCTTACATGTTTCACCAACTGGACATAAGATATCCGATCTAGGGACCTTTATGGCTGGAATTGCTCACGGCTTTCCTGAAGTACTTTGCCCAGATCTGGCACGAGGGCTCCCCTCCCAGCGAGCGCATTCCTCGCAAAATGGCTTCTTTTTCTCCCGCCACCTCGCTGGCTGCGGGTGAAAAAACCGCCAAAAACCGGGACAGGGGGGTGGGGTTCGATGTTTTGCCTGCCATGGAGGCTGCTAGAGACCTCCAACTTGCGGCTCTCCAAAAATGCTTGGCCTGCAGGGGGCCTTCGTGAAAGCAACAGAGGGTTTCTCCAAAGATCCGGGGAAGAAAAGCGGATAACAAGGGCAAGAAAAGTGCGCCAAAATAGGGAGTGACCCCAAGGAAAGGTCGTCTCCCTTTCGTGTCCTTTTGGTTTTCCTCGAAAGCCGCCCCGAAAAAGGGTACGCTCAAAGAAATACAAAGCCAAAGGAAGACGGACCTACGTTCTACCCAAGTTTGGTCACGAGCTCTGAAGCAACTCAAGCTGATTGAGGTGTCCCCGGAACTGCCAGGCTTTGATCGGGGCTTGCCTTGAAATAGCGTGACCCCCCAACATGGGCAGTGTCCCTGTGGATGGGTCCTCGAAATCCATTTCGCACCACTTGGAAACCATGGTTGAAACCATGGTTGGTTGGTATTTACGTTGGGGAATCAAGATTCCAGGGCTTCTTAGGTGGTGCAGGATTTCGTCCATCCACAGTATCAACTGCCTTTTAACCCCCAAAGGGTTCCCTCGACTCAAAGACAATTGGTGTTCACCCTTCCTTCTACAGTCCCTGTTGCCAGCCTATCGGACCGCAGGGTGCAGGTGTTTCATTTCGCGGGTTGCCGGATGAGACAAACCCATGTGGTGGTTCAAACCCAAAATGCAAGGTGTCTAATGTTAACCCCGGATGAATAAACCCCTGGTTGATTCATAGGGGGGTGTCCCCTTTTTTTGAGGATTCATCACTTTTGGAGGGAACCCCCCTAATAGGACGGGTTTATTCATCCTGGGTCAACATTAAGCTGGGCAAGGGTCTTGGGCTCTCCTTGACAAAGGACCCCTGCACTCCCAGAGTTCTGGGATTTGCACGCGCCCGTCCAGGTCTCGAGCGAGGCGATCGCGGGGCGCCGGGGACCAAAAACGAAAAACCGTCCATGCAAGTGCGCAGACAAACCCTTCAAGTGGGTTGCAGTTGTGCGTGTCACGTGGCATGTGTCACAAGCAATGGACATCGAGCCCCTTCTAAATCCGGCGTGAAGGCGGATCGCTTTTGGCGAAGAAGGGCCTTGCTGTTCCACCCCCAAACTGCTTTGGGGGCGAGAAAGGGTCTTCATTGCAAAGGTTTAGCTGCGCTTGCCGCTGACCTCGGGCGCAAACAGGGCTCCTTCAAAGATACACCATGATGCACTCAGAAGTCACCTGGTTAACAAGAATCGTCCAAGTCAGCTGGTCGCTCGAAACCCTCATCTCTGATACGACCCGTACCCCATGCATCCAGCCTTCCAGAAATCCAGCTGAAGGCTCTTTGTGATTCATCCTTTCACGCCCCTATAATTAGGTGTTTCTCCAAATAGTGCACCCCTAAACTGGCTGGTTTCCTGTTCGTGTCCCTTTAAATACCAACCAAACGGTTCACCACGTTGAGAAGCTCCCCTCTGTGACTTGTTGTGCGCGGCCTCGCGGCATCGCTCCGACTCGCTCGCCCCGCCCCTTCACTCGACGCCAAGGCGGTTCGCAACGCCTCGGACCGGCAAGTACAACACACATCAAATCGGGCCAAGAAACCCGAAAACATGTTTTTTCTATGTGAACTCCATGGCTGAACCCCCGAAAAGCGGTACCCTCAAAAAACGCAGCCACACGAAACAACGTCACATTGTGTTAGTTGGTTTACAAGTGTTGCTTACTGATCAACTATGCTTCAATGTTAAGTGCAAAAGACTCCAAGGCTGCTGTCTGTACTCATTGAACTATATAGCGACTTGTTACCCGATAAGTGGTAGACAAAAAGGGTCTGATTTCCCGGCGCTGGACATGTGAAACATGAATGGCCCGACATGGCTGTGTGCCTCCAGGCTCCTTAGCTTCATAGTTTTTGGGTTGCTCACAAACTGAGGCGCCTCAGTCTTCACCCAGCGTTCTCATTAAAATCCACCCACTTTCCCAAGCAAACAGTCCCTACGATCGCATTAGGGGTGCCTTAGTTTCAGTTTCCACAAACATGAGCACAGA